CCCCATTTCCCGCCCCCCCGCCCCTGAATAAATAGGAAAAACATGGCCTAACAGGAAAGCGAAGGAAAGATGTGAGCGTCACCACAGGCGCACGAAGAGGCGCTCAGCCTGGGTGGTGAGGGGTGACCGTCCACTCTGCTCCATGGCGCTGCTCCACCTGGGCTGGCAGAGGTCACACGTGGGAACGCCAGTACTGCTGAGGTTTGGGGGCCGTGGGACGAACACTCTGACGTCACCTTGCAAGCGTGAGTGAACACATTCCCTGGGAGTGACCCCTCTCTCTGCTGTGTTTACTTCAGAGGCGCAGCTGTCCACATGTCCCACTCTGCAGTTGGGAGGAGCCCCCAGCCCCAACGAGCAGGGTCCAGAGGCCACAGCACCCTAAGGAAACACTCCTGACGGCGTCCCAGCTGACTCAGATTGTGTTGATGCCTCCAGAACATGCCAGACCCTACTTGGCCAGTAACAGGGACGGCCAGGAAAACTAAGCTGGTGGCGGAGGTGCCTGGCCCCATCCAAGCCCCTGGGAGCCTTTCTCGTTCCCCGTGGGCAGCCACGCAGCCCCGGCCACGGTCGCCAGCCCAGGCTCGGTCAGCTCGGCAACCGCCATGCACCTCGCAGCCCAGGTTCCGGCCACCAGGCAGGGGAGCCGCCATCCTCCCTTCTTGGAGACAGGTGTCCAAGGGGACTGGCTGCAGCTGTGCCTGCCCCACCTGCACTGCACACCCCGCCCGCCCTCCGCCTCCGGGCAGCCAGGCCAGGGCCTCGGCCACCCTCGCTGCCCCGAGTGCTGTCCAGCATGGCATCCCTACTTGCTGGCTGCGTTTGCCACTCTCTCTAGGGGATTCTCCAGCACGATTCCCGGCCCCGCCTTCCTCCCAGGGCCTGGACACCGCCGGCCGCCCGGGAAGGTCCTCCAGCGCGAGCTTTGCCTCTTCCTGTTTTCCTGCTGGCTGCTCTCAGGGGCCCCCCGGGGCCCGGTCCTGGGCCACCGCCTGCTTACTCCATCGGTGGCTTCAGTTCCCACCTGTGACAAATGCGTCCACCACATCCCGAGTGGCCTGAGCACTTCCTCGGCTGCTCAGGAACTGCACACGCGGCCGCTGGACACTCCCCAGACCTGTCCCTGTGCAGGCATCTGGGGTGCCTCTGAGAAGCCGACTCTGTTCCTTCGGCCACATCACCTGCCTGGGCGGAGGGGTGGCCCCGAGCGGAGGTGCGTCTGGCAGCATGGCTGCAGCGTGGCGATGACCATGTGACAAGCTGGCAGCCTGTCCCCACGGTCTCCAGTGGAGACACAGAGGCTTACAGACACGAGTCCATTTCCAACAGTTTTTAAAAAGCAAAAATAGAGGCTTACAGACACAACGAGTCCATTTCCAACAGTTTTTAAAAAGCAAAAATAAATCACAGGAGGACTAAAAATCACGGTAATTCTGAAAAAGGTTAAAGACCGTAGACGCGGTAAACAGAAGGTGCACGTGCACCTTGGGGCACTGTGACACCTGTCCTGCTGAGCCAGGGTGCAGCCCGGGGCCCCGCCCGCTGCTCTGGTCCCCTCGCACACAGGAAGTTCCTGCGGCAGGCGATGGACGCTCCGTGGGTGAGAAATGGCATCAGGAAGGGGCAATGCTTCTTGGAAGAGCCGCCGGAGAGGCCCAGGCCAGCTCTTCCCCGGCGGGTCCCTGTCACCTGCAGGGGGGCAGGTGACTCCCTAAGGGTGAGCACACCTTCCCCTCTCTTCCTCTCTGTGGGGGGACTGGGAACATGACACCCAAGGCGCAAGGCCCACACTCCCAACTGGCTCAGGCTCTGCTGGGCCTGGATACTTGGCAGGGGGGTGGCAGGCCATCGTCACACGCAAGGGAAGCTGGTGTGCAACGTGGCAGTTTCCTCAGGAACCAAATGCTCAGAAAGTCGCTCGTAAGCGAAGAGACTCGCAGAGAACATTCTCCCACGTCTGGGACCGTCCTCGGGCCAGCCTGCCTCGTCTCCCCCTGACACCCCTCCTGTCATACTTCCGTAGCTCCACAATCCTCTTGGGAAAGGACGAGGCATTAAAAAAAAAAGGCAGCACAACTGAGCACGACAAACTCAGGTGTTCCTTGGTGCCCGGGCAGGCAGTGGGCACGTGGCGGTCAGCGCCAGACATGAGGGAGCCCGTGGGGGTCAGTGCTGGACACAGTGGGGCCCATGGGAACCTGGCGGTCAGCGCCGGACACGAGGGAGACCGCGGCACGAGTGGGGACAGATCCGAGAACACCTGGTCCTAAAGGACATCCTGCACGCACTTGTGAGCTGCCCCTGTCGAGCCAGGCAACGCAGGTAACTCTGCCAGCCCGCTTTGCCCAGGGGGTCGGGGAACTTCGCTGCCGCCTCCATCCCAGTGACCGATGCCCAGGCGCGGAGGAGACGGGGTGCAGGACGGGGTGAAGGCCACCTGCTGAAGGTCGCCGGCCGAGATCCAGGAGGCAGGATGGAGACATGAGGCCACGCTCTGCCTAAACCAGGCGCACAGGCGCTCCACAGGGTCTGCGCGCAGCTGAGACAGGGCCGCCGTGGGCCCACAGTGGGCCTGACGGCGAGCGTGAGCACGTGTGTGAGTCGGGGGCTGGCCGACTGGCCCCAGATGCAGTCGACCTGGCGTCTGTGTCTCTGTCTGTGTCGCCCTCACAGCTGCTTTCGGTCACTCAGCTCTGCCACACCCACATCTCACAAAGCACAAAGATGAGACAGAGGGGCTCGCCCTGTCCCCGAGAGCCCCCGTCCCCGGGGGTGCCCGGTGCCATCACGTCCGACGCTCGTCTGGCAGTCGGGGTGTGTGAAACTGTGGCATTCAACCTTAGAATGCCACGATTAAATCGAAAACTGACCCAAACAAAACCCCGCCTTTATGTCACACGAGTAACGACAGGCCGGAGGCCCTCTCTGCTGAAAGCCGGACCGGTCCGCCTTGGCACCCCACCCGCAGGATGCCCTACGCCTCCATCCGCATGGCCCACCACTTCTGTCACCTGTCGCCAATGGCTACCGCTAACTCAAAGCTGAAACTGTGAGAGTGAGCGGCTCCTGGGATCAGCGCGGCCCTCGGACTCGGCTCCCGGCTCGCAGGCCCGCTCCGCCTCCCCGCTCCCCTGCAGCCGCGTCTCCAGTCGGCAGCGCGGGCCACAGCTGGCCGCCCGCGTGCATGCCAAATCGTCCAGCACGCCGTATATCAACCCTCATCAAAGGCCGCGGGGCAGGGGAGGGGGTCCATGCGACTTTCCTGCATTAAAAAGATTTTTAAGAGACCTTGATAAAGCTGCTGCTTCCTGCTGTTTGATGTCTGCATAAAAGAACACTTTCTTGTTGGCAGAGCAAACGCACCAGGAAGCAGGACGGGCCCAGCGGAAAGCGAGGTTCTCTTTTGTTATTTTAAAATCACCAGCTAAAAGAATCAAAACGCTTAGGGTCCTTGGAACATATAAATCAGCTGCCTTTTAACTCTAGTGAAGAAAGGACAGGTGAAACCTGCAGACACCGCAAAGCTCCGCTGGCACTTCACTTGGGGACGGGCAAGCAGACTGCCAACCGGCACAGCGGGCACGGGAGCCTCCAGCATCTCTGCCCCGCTCGTGCCTCCAGGGAAAACGAACACCACGCACGGGCCGAGACGTCGGGGGAGAACGGCCATCGGGGTGCCCGCCGCACCCAGCCCGCTGCCCACATGCTCGTCGCTGGCCAGCGGCCCTGAGGGACGGTGGAGCGTAAGCCTGGGCTCCTGTGTGCCTTTGGGCACGTCGTTAAAATTCCCCGCTGGGGGGCCCAGGACGCAGACCACCGGTCCTGCGGTCCCCCTGCACCCGCCATCAAGGCCGCTGATGCCTAGCACTGCTCACTCGGGTGCCACCCTCCTCAGGAGCGGCCCCAGAGCAGGGCAGACACCACGGCTTCTGTCCCCGGGCGCCGTACCCCAGGGCGCCCAGCTCTCCTCTCTTCCCGTGGCCACCTCACACGGGGGACACAGGAAGAGCCTCCCAAGGGTCCAACCCCACGTTAGCTCGTTCTCATGCTCCGCTCGCATGGCTAGGGTCCAGGCCCGGGTGCAGACCAGACACTTGTCATCAAAGGCCACCCTGTCAGCTCTGTCCACCCTGAGCCTAGCAGGGCACAGACCACACTTCATCCTCTTGCCTACAGCAAACCTTCCGTTGGTTCACACGAGTCACAGAGAACGACACCATGCCGAGGAGAGTGCTGTGTCACGTCCCTGGAGACCTCCCTACACCACGTGGCCCGCCGCGGCTTGCTGAGTGCAGGAACCACAACCTGGGCTGGGCCCCTGCTCCAAGCCCCGCTCTGCACGTTGGGCCAGAGCCCTGCCCACGTGCCGGGGCCCGTGCTGGCTGTCCCCTGGCGGGGTGGCCCCTGGCAGGCCCTCCCGGCTCTCGGCCTCCTGCGGGGACATGGTTTGGAGCCCCAGGAACAGTGAGCTGATGAGTGTCATACGTGAGACTTGGCAGGTGCCCTGGGCTGGCCGACGCCCACGCACCGGCCCTGCCCACACTGCTGTGCCCCCTCCACACCCAGCAGCAGGCACCTCCTGGCCCGTCGCCCTGGCCTTCCCAGCGCCGCTCATCCCGGCCGCCCCTCTCCCCTCCCGGCCCCTCGACTGGACACCCTGACCTCCCGAGTGGCCTGTGGCCCGAGCCAGCCCCACCATGAGTGGCCAGGGCCGCCTCTCTGGGATGCCCGATCCTCCGGAGCCTCAGGCCAAGGCCGCTGCTGGGCTTCGCTCAGCTCTTGGTGACCGGGAAGAGGGTGGATGTGGGGACGAAGGCCCCCGACCGGACCCTCGGGGGATGAACGCAGAGGCCCCCCTCTGATGCATGAGGGAGTGCCGGGGGTGGTGGAGGGCTGTGCCGTGCTGTGCCCCAGGGCCCCAGGGCCTTCCTGAGGCGGTGGGGCCTGTGACCAGGGCATGCTCGCTGAGCACCCACCGGCCGGTTCCCAGGGCCCCGTGTGATGCCACATGCCCGGAGACCTCGCCCGCCCCCACCGCTGAACCTGTGGTGAGGTTGGGGCACAGGAGCGTGACCCCGCACCCAAAGGCCTGGGGTGCATGTGAAGATCCAGGAAGAGCACACTTGGATGTGCAAACTGGAAGCTTGCGGCCAGTTTGTCAGGGACTCAAGTCGCTCAGGGGGCTGCACACGCCGTCACTGGCCGCACCTCCCCGCCTGCCCTGAGCAGTGTGGGGAGTGGCCGGCCCCGTGTCACCCAGGAAGGAGCTCTCCCAGAGGCCTTCGCCTTGAACCCTCACGAGTTCCTTCCCTTACTCCAGACCCTCTGACCAAGTGCAGACCACTGTGTCTCCCTGACTTTGTCCTGCAGCCTCGGCAGGGCCCAGTGCAGAACCAGCCCTGGTGTCACCTGTGGGCCCAGCCTCTGAGACCCACAGTGACCCCACTCCAGGAACCAGCCCTGGACCGTCGGGGAACTGGGCGTGTGGCCATCCCCCGGGACGCGCGCGCAGAGTGAGGGCCCTCGGCGGGCAGGGCCCTGGACTGCTGTTTTCAGAGGAAGGGCTCCCGACAGTCCTTTGGGCCTCCTCCTTCCAGGGACGAGTAGCTCTGCGTGTACTCGCCTGCAAGGCAGGGTCGCAGGGGACATGGGACACAGCCGAGAGCCAGCGGAGCGGCCCACACAGGCCACGGGCTGCCGGTACCTACCTCGTTTCCCAGCAAAGCAGAAACACATGCTTCCGAGGCGTCGCAAATGGCCGTGAGGTCGTGGCCCCCCTCCAGGGCCAGAACGATCCGGCCGCCGGCCAAGCCCATCAGCTGCTTCGTCAGGTACCCGAAACCTGCAACGGGAACGGGAGATGCGAGGGGCGGGCGGGGCGGGCGCGCGGCACCGATGCCTGGCGGCCGATCAAAGCGGCCGCAGCGCATTACGTCACGCTGCAGGCCCGGGGGGCGGGCGCGCTGGGCTCGTAATGGAAGCCAGGCGCGGCTGCAGTGAACTCAGCGGAGAATTTTGGTCTGGGATTCTTTTTGATCTCTGTGAGAGCAGGAATTATGGTTTCGAGGCTCTGATTTTATAATGCCACAAATCATCTTATTTGGGGGATGGGGAGGAGCCCCTCAGCTCTCACGTGGGGACCACCGAGGCCGGGAGGCAGGCGTGCCCAGGGCCGGGCAGCCGTCAGCAGCTGCTAGGTCACGGCCACAATCGTCCCGGAGGCCTGGGCAGTGGAGGTACCGGGCACACGTGTGCACGCTCAGGCTCCCGTCAGCGTTGCCGGTGTCCCCCAGGACCCTCGTGTCCGCGTCAGGATGCCTGGCTTCCCTCAGTGCCACGGTCCCCGCTGCACCCGCGTCACCCTCCCTCCGGCAGAAGACGCCTGGTGGGATGGGCCCATCATCACCACCCACGGCCAGGCCGCCCGACAGCTGTCAGAGAGCCGGGCAAGCCACGCCACACAGGTGGGCGGCCCGTCTCAGGCTGGCCATCAGCAGCACGGCCTCCAGCCGGGTGTCGCCCTCTGGTGGCTGCGGGCACCACGAAGCCCTGGCTTTGTCTGTCCAATAGGCACAGGGACATTGGCTTCCAGGCTGCCACAAGGTCTGGATGAAGCAGCTCAGCCTGGGCCGGGCGCTGAGGGGTGCTGGGCATGGCCCACACTGCCCTCTGCCTGGGCACTTCCTCAGTCCCTAGTCCCACGGCCTGGGGGCAGGTGGGTCTGAGGTGCCCTGCGCTGGAGCTGGCCAGCTTCCAGCGAGCCACACTGCTCCTGTGAGGGGAGGGAGACTCTCCCTGGAAGTCTGCGCCCATAGGGTCAGAATGAGGGGCCCCCAGGGCCTCGCACAAGTCCCCAAGGTCACGCCTAGAAGCCCCGAGAGAGTCCTAAAGTGCTGGGCAGCAGTGGCCAGGCAGGGCCAGGGGCTTCCAGGCCTTTCTATGGACCCAGCTCCATGTCAGGCCTTTGGTCAGACAGACAAAGCGGAGCTTCTTTCTGCGGTCCCTGCAGAGGGGAGGCCTGAGGGACGGAGCACGCCGTCCGAGCAGCAAGGTGCAGGCGGGCCTCCGGCAGGCTGCGAACCCGACTCACATTTGGCGGAGAGGTTGTAGCCGCCCAGGGGTGTGGGGTGGCCCTCCACGGCGTCGAAGCCCGACGACACCAGCACCACGTCCGGGCCAAACTCATTTGCTATTGGCATGACGACCATTCTGCAAAGGGCAGGAGAAGGCGACAGTCAGATGGAGACACAGATGTGGAGGAGAGCTGAAAGGCCACCAATAGCGCCTGGCCCCTTGCCCTCAGGTGAGCGGGCCGAGAGCTCTGCACAGGAGCTTCCATCTGCAGGCTCACGCGCAGTCAGGAGGTTGGCCCAGGTGTGCCAAGGCGCCTTTCACTGTAATCCAGCAGCGTATTTGAGAGGTGGTCTGCAACCCCCATGGCACCAGCTGCCACCGCTCCATCCTCGGTCCTCCCCAAAGGTGGGTGGCACTGCTCACCCCTCACTTGGCATTGCCCCGATTCAAGGTGGGTGCGTCACCACCCTCACACTGGGCCCAGCCGTGTGTGGCTGAGGTGGGAGAGGCTGCCTGTCCACGGGGGAGACCTCCTGTATCTTCCATTTGCCCCCAAGAGCCACAACGTCGGCAACGAATGACAGAATGACCGATATGCACTCACACGACAGGACGCGGCTGGTTCGTTAACTGGAAATTCTACACCTAGGTCTTTAGAAGGAAAACTGTGTTCTTAACCCAATGATCCTCTTAAATTTGAGCATCAGACACACACTGAGAGATCTAGGAATTTAGTTAAGAAAACAAGAAAAAGCCTACTTGAATAGGGAAGAAAACATAACACAAAACCACTGCCTTAGAGCCTGCAGCCTCTGCCGGCCTGTCCTGTAAACACGTGCATTGTGTTCTAACTGCACGTCGCAGCTGGAAATTCAGCAGTGGCACCTGTCATTGAAGCTCGGTTAATCTGACTTGGAATTAAGTCACCACTGACTTCCAGCGTTTCATCACAGGTGCCCGGCTGTGCCCCTGGAGTAGCAGAGGACGGCGGCCTGTGATGACCCCCGGGCGCCCTGAGCCAGTGCTGGTCTCATCACTCGACCCCTCGCTGGAGCCGTCTAGGTCCCGCAATTCAATGGCCTACTTCTTGCGGTGCTCCAGCAAGCTTCTGCGGACCCCCCGCTCCCCAGCACCAATCAGCAACTCATTGGAGTCTCAGGCCCCCTTCACAGGCTCTTCAGAGGCCGTGTGGACCTGGCCACATGCGTGCAGCAGGGATGAGGCCCCTTCCCTGGGGACGCCGTGGCGGAAGGCGCAGGGCTGGTGGTGAGAGTTCCTGTCGTTGCTCATTCAGCTTCTATTACAAAATGAAGTTCACCATTTAAGTCGGCAAAGCCAACTGCATAAAGCACCAACTTCAGCCGAAGGAAACAAAAATGCTCAAAAGTCAGCGTTACTCCATTCAGGAACGAAACTGCACTGCGGTCCTGCTGCAAAGTCCCTGACTTCAGGCGGGAGTGACAGGAACCCGAGCGCTGCACACAAGGTGACGAGTAGCTGCCCCGCTCTGCAGGACCCGCGGTCAGGGCCCTGCGCGATCCGGGGTCAGTGGGTGCAGCTCAGTGGGCTGCGGGTCGGCGGGATATGTCTCTGGCGCGATGCAGAGGCAGCCGGCGCCCCCAGTCTAGGGAGCACACGGGACCGAGGCGGAAAGACCGCACAGGCGCTTCCTGGAGAAGAGCATCGGCCCGCGGCCCGGCGCCGTAAAAACCCGCACGGAGCCGCGGAGAAACCCGCTCTGGAACGTCGCACTGGGGGGCACAGAAGACCGAGGCTGCTGCTTCGAACACCCCATTTTACTTCTGCAAGGCTGTGCCCGGTTCGGTTTCCTCTGAACAGGCTGAGGAAGGCCGCTTCCAGGGGCGTGGGGCGTCCACTAGGGCCTGAGGACCGGCCATGTGGCCCGCAAGGGGCGGGGCGCACTCTGTGCCACGCACCGCCCTGGGCGCGGGCGAGCGCGCACGCGTGGGCCCAGCGCAGGCGCGGTAGTGCCCCTTTACTCAAAATCACGGGGTGGGTTGGGGCCCCCCACTTGGCCAACCCCCGCCCAGACCCCGTCACCGGGCTGCGGTCATGCTGCGCAAGGCACGGCTCCGCGGGTCACAGGTCCCGCACGCACGAAGCACAAGGCCGAGCTTCGGAGCCGGCGCGGCCTCGTGGGGATGGTGCTGCCCAGCGACGTCATGGACCTCCGGCGGGCGGATGCAGACAGGGGTCCGGCCAATGCCCTTTGCTTCGCCTCCGAGATGGGGCGTGGCCTTCCCGCAGGCAGGGTCAGTCCCGGCGCAGGGCCTGGGGCTTCCTGGGGCGAGAGGCGGTGTCATCACGTTCTGGAAGCGTCGGGGAACTTTGGCCTCACCGCAGACGCCGCTCAGGGGGCGCAGCGGCCGTGTGCGCAAGCGCAGGTGGTGGGCTCCGGCCCGCCTTGAAGCGCTGCCCGGCTGCTCACTCCTGACTCCCCGCAAAATGACAGCCGAATTCATTAAACACAGTGACCACCGAGAGTCCCTGGCAATGCGAGGTGCGTGGCACCGCCCCAAAGCGATCGCAATGGAAGGCGGGACACACTGATGCCTCGTGGGGGGTGGGGGTGGGGTGCGGGCCCACGGGTCATGTGGGACGGCGCGCGCACACGCACGCGCACACGCATCCACTTTCACTGTCCCGCTGGGGAGTCCCCACACTGTGTCCCTGCAGCAGCGGAGAGTCTGACGTGGCTTCAAGTGCCAGGCACAGTCACCTTGCCAGGGGTTTACTGAGACCCGGCCCCATCCTAAGTCAAGGAGCATTTGTAATTGACTCAACAGTTGGTTCTGACTTCTGGAAAGAAATGACCTTTCAATTATTCATCCCCCTGCCAGGGCCCCACGAAACTCATGCATGACACAGCCTTGGGGCATACAGCCTGGCATGGCCGGCAAGCTGTGATGCTGCCTCCCAGGGGGCTGTGCCAGAGAAGGGGCTGGGAACTGGGGGACAGGGCCTAAGCCTCCATGGTAACCGGGGTTCAGGGCTGACCCACGCCCTGCATCCCAGCTGCTCTCTGCCCCACCCCACCCCAGGTGCCCCAGAAGCATCGCTCACACAAGCTGGCTGTGTGCATACACCTCCCTCCCTGAGGTGGGTGCCTGGTGCCAGGGCGCCCGGGTGGCGCACCCTGCGGGCTGCTACGCTAGGCGCCTTGCGACTTGCTGAACGCCAGCAGCAAGGAGTCGAGGGCTGGACCTGCCGGTCAGTGGGCGGAGCCAGGCTGGCAGCAGGCGGGCGCCCTGCGCGGCTGAGGTGCGGTCTGCGCACAGCGTCAGATCGTTGAAAAGCTTTTCCTCTGCACTCTGTGCAAGCACTGGCTCTGCTCTGGGGGGCCCCGCGCCCGTGGTGGGCGTGCCTGGGCTGCGGTGGCTTCCGTGCTCTGCGGTGCCATCTTGAGCGCCGCCCCAAGCCACCGTGCCTACCAGAGTCACCAGGCCAGTGGCTGGAGCGACTGTCCCACAAGTATTTAAACTCTGCTGAGAGCCAGAATCAGAACAGAGATAAAAACGACCGGAGTCCCGCTGCTCTGGCCCGGCGGCCCCCGACGGCGATGCCCACCGCCCAGGCACTGCAGCCAGCGAAGGTGCATGGGCAGTTTTTGCTTCTAAAATCACCGCAGAAGGTCCTCAGATGAAACGTACACGGGAAGAGACGCAGAGGCCCTGGAGACACGCCGCCCTCAGGCGCGACCTCACGGAACAGACTGAGCGGTGACCATCGGTGCCACCACACCACACCCGCCATGAGAATTACGGACAACTTAGCACAGCCACGGAACAGCCTAAAAAAGGCAAGAAACACCTTACGAGAACAAAACTTAGAAGAGCCTCAACCTTTAGGTCCAGCCTGAGAGGTGGGGTGGAGGGGAGGGGACATGGGACAGGACGATCTGCCCAGTTGCTCAATTTAAAGGCGACTCTCGAGTCACTGGGAGCCTCGAGCTGCCGCCTGAGGGTAAGCAGGCCCACTGACATCTTCGATAAACTCTGTAGCACTTAGATCCTACGATTTCAAAGCACGAAGGACCCCAAGTTCATCTCCTCACGGCTGACAGGTGGACCCGCTTGGTCGCCAGGCGCAGGTAAGCGAGGGGTTAAGGAACGCGCCGGCACCCTCCAGCAGAGGGGCCTCAGCCAACTTCAAAGGCCCGGGCCCCCTGGTTTGAATTAAGCCCCCTTTCCTGATGCGCCTGCCAGCCCAGGAGAAAGTGCCTGCTTCTGGGTTTCATTAGGGGCAATTTTCTTATCTCTTCTTCATCTCAGGCTTGATCTCCTGAAATGCGACGTGGCAGCAGCAGGTCTGCGAAACGAGGTGCTCCCTTTAAGGCCCACATTGTCCCCCTGGGGCCCAGCAAAAGGCGGAGGAGCGTGGAAGGAAGGGGAAAACAGATCCTGACCCTTCTTCCCCTATGCGATCGATGCCCAGGGAACCATAAATTATAAACTTCAAAGTGCTCTTTTACATTAAAATCAATATTAAAAAAAAAAATCCTGGAACAATTTTCCTTTTCAAAGAAGCGATTTAAGCTTGAAAAAGCGCATTTGATAAGGTATCGTCATGTACACACTTGGCAGGAGATTAAAACAGGATGTCAGCAGCAGCTGAGTGAAGGGTTCATCTTAAAGGCTGGGGTGCAGGGTCGGGGGGAGGACGTCCCCAGCCCCCCAAACAAGGTGCAGGGATCTGCACCCCAGGACCCCACCACCTGGGGCACTGGACCCACAAGGGCCAACCCAGCCAGAGCCAGAGACGCGACCTGGACGACGACAGATGCGGCTCCTACCGCCTGGACTCCGGCTTACACGGCGCTGCCTTCTCCACCCGCCCAGAGTCTGGCCGTGCTGGGCCCCTTGGTCCCTCAGGTGGCACCAAGCCTCGGGCAATGTTCACGCTTCTCATAGTGGCATCTGGACGCTGGCACTTCCAAAGGAGCCTCCTAAGAGAGCTGGTTCCTGGGAGGGAGGTGACAAGGTGGTGCCCAGCACCCTTCCACGTCACACATGAGCAGCGACAGCTCCCCCAGTGGGGATGCTGAGGGGGTTCGGGTTTCACGAAGCTGCTATTTAACCGTGTATATCAGTGACTTTCCAGATGCTGTGTGTTTGGGGGAGTCCTCCCTTCAACGGGCAAGGCGATCACCAAAATCACATCTGATCGAGTAAGAAGCAGCGGCATTAAACCAGCAAGGTCAGGAGAGAGGTTCAGGGGGGACCCGAAGGGGGCTGGCACAGGCCGGTCTCCTTGCTTGCGCAGATGGCCCACGGCCTCGCCATCACCGAGGCACCCTGACCCTGTGGGTGAGGACTCCGTCTTGAGGTGAGTGAGCACATGCTGCAAGGGGTCATGTGACCGACACAGGGTCTCCTCAGAGCGCAAGACAGAACCCTCAGCAAAACTCTGACAGATGTGCACTCCACGTGCCCACACCTGTGTGTGCAGACACACGTTTGCAGACACACCCGCACGCGCAGTCCCGTGTGCACACCAACAAACACATGCCCACGTGCACACGTGTCCGAAGACACGTGCACCTCACACGCACGCCTGCACGCACGCGCCGTGTGAGATGAAGCGGGAAGTCAGGGGCGCCATGGCCTCCGCGGGCTCTGGGGCATCGCTGGTGTTTTCCAATGGGAGCTGGGGGCTGGTCGGGCTACGCCCCTCAACAGGACTCTCCTCCTTGCCAGCACCCAGGGGCCCTGTTTCCCGGGGCCGAGTCCGCCGGGAAGGTCAAAACCGCCAGTTGAAGGAACAAGGATACCCGTGCCCCAGAGCGTCCAGACTTGGTGGCAGCAATTACTTTGGTCTGACCCAAATCAAAGTAGAAATGACCATTTGGTGACAGAAGCCAATACTGAATTTAAGAAAATCACTCTGCAGCTATATCCTCACGGCTCGGAGGGACGCAAAAGAAGTGGGGTGCGTGGGGGGCCCTCCCGAGCACCAGCCCAGGAGGGATGCGCGCCGTCACCTCACCGAAGGTCTGCTGGAAGCACCACCAGAGACTGCACGATCCTGGGCCCCAATGCCGGTGGCCCAGCTCCCGGCTCCCCGCCCTGGTCTCTGCCGCTGTCCTACGGTCGGGGCCCGGCGGGGACTTGGGACTCGGCACGGACTGGAGCACTGCGACCAAGGTCGGGAGGCAGCCTCTGAGGAGCCGCCTGAGGCCGGAAGGAGGACTGGCGCGGCAGCCCCTGGAGCACCACGCCTCCAAGTGAAGGGACAGAGACATCCACCCCTGCCAGGCGCACCCCGGGATGGCCCAGCCTCCCCCGCCATGGGTCTGGCACCTCAAAAAGGTGAGGGGGGAAGGACAGCAGTCGGGCACGCGGGGCGGGACCCGGGACACTCACCGGAAGGCCGCCAGGTACTCCACGTCCCCCATCGGGGGGTCGAGGCCACCAGTGAAAGCCATGTTGACGTTGAAGCCCACGCCTGGCCCTGCGCCCACCTATGTGAGTGAGAGAGCGAGCACGTGTCACAGACCCTCGACTGGGGGTGTGATGGAGGCCTGAGCCAGTGCCCCATGGCGGAGCCTGTGCGCTGGGCCTCAGGCGCCAACCACAGAGCATCCTTGCCCTCACAGAACACGGGGCTCCGCCCGGCTGGCCTGGGGCGGCTGCGGGGCGGCCCTTGTCCCTCGCCCTGGGGGCTACCCGCAGCACGTGGTGACCTGCAGCTGTGCCGGAGAGGACAACCAGGGTACGTCTGCACACGAGACTGCCCGTCCCAGCCGCCTTCTGGGGTGTGACCCAGCGGCGGGCGCACTTGTCTGTGGCGGAGCCCCGGCCTCTGCCTGGCACGTGCCCCGCGCCCGCCAAGCCCCCGGAGCCCAGCCGCAGGCCTCACCTCGTCGGGGGCGCCGCTGCCCGGGAAGAAGTTGCCGTCGTCGTAGCGATGCAGGGAGATGTACAGGACACTCGGGTCGCTGTAGAAGGCCTGCTGGGTCCCGTTGCCGTGGTGCACATCCTGACAGCAGGGAGGTGCCGTCACTGAGCACCCGCCAGGCCGCCCGTCCCCAGGGAGGTCCGAGGGGCCGGGGACCAGGAGGCGGCGGCCCGGGGCCACAGGGATCTCTGCCGAGGAGGGCAGGGGTTCAGCCCTGCCTGGAGGCGGGGCATCCCAGGCACAGCCCAGCCGTGTCATCGCTCACGGGCCCCGCGGGTCTGTGAGAGTCGGGCCGCCTCCTCCACGCCCCCGGCCACGGCTGCTCATTCCTGAGCACGTGTGAGGTGATGCTGAGGTACGCGGGAGACCACCCCACGGGGCTGAGTGACAGGTGCACACACAGTGCTGTGGCCCCAGGTCCCCAACTAAACCGACAGAGCCCTTCTGACCACAACGCCCACATGCTAAAGCAGGACGCGGGGGAGGCCACGCTCGGCCGGGTGGGGGCCTGCTCTATGCACGGCCTGAGAGGGAACGGACTCCTTGAACGGCCCCGCCCCGGCATAAGAGCTCCGCACTTGTTTGTGGAGTTTGGGACTCAGTTTTAACCAGCCAGCCTTTCGGGGCTGTGAGGGGCTGAGAGGTGGCACTGCCTACGGGACATGGGGAGCAGGTGAGGCCAGCACATGCCGGGACACCCGTGCAGAGACGGGGAGGGCGCTGTCATCAGGAGTGACAGCCGAGCAAAGCCGCGCGTTCGCCTAGGGAAGGGGGTGGCCGCGATCAAGGCCACGCCATCTGTCTCGGGACCTGCCTCCCGGTGAGGCTGGGCCAAGGGTCACCCACACCCGCGGGCACATGCTAGGCATTTCAGGAACCAGGTATTGGCCGGTCGCCTGATCGAAGCTGCGAAACAGACTCGTGACAGGCGTGGCTTTGTTTTTTGCACCTTTGGGGTAGTTTCTAGAGAGCTGAGATCCCCACATGCGAACGCCTATGGAGGCAGAAACGCGCCTTCTCCCTGCGCCCGGGACACCGCCTGCTTACCCAGTCCACGATGAGCATCTTGCTCACGCTCAGCCTCTGCTGGAGGAGCTTGGCTGCGATGGCCACGGAATTGAAGTAGCAGAAGCCCCTGTGGACAAGAAGCGGGAGAATCGGAGAGAAACACGGTGGGGACCGGCTTTTCAACTTGCGCTAGGGACATCTAGAGCCCACGGCCGCCACGGGAGCGTGGTTAATGCACAGCCTCCCGCCAGCGGTCTGGATGCTGATGGCAGGTGCGCACGCGCATGCGCACGAAGCTTCCTGCAGAGCCCCGGACGGGAAAGCCCTCTTCGCTCTGTGCCGACACCCCCGTTACCAGCCTCTCGGGAGACGCTGCAGCCCACGGAACGCAGAAGCGACCTATTTCGATTGTTTCCCGCCCATCCTTTCCTATTCTAAGACGTAGGACAATGACAGAGTCACTCCCCGTGGTTAAATGCTAATTCTACAGTCTTATTCACAAGAATGAGAAAAACAAAGCGATTCAAGTCAAAATAAAAATCTCATCTGATTCGCCTCTGCCGGAATTCCCACGGGGCCGAGGCCTGGCTGTTTGGTTTCGGGCAGCCCCCCGTCCCCGGGATGCGCAGACACCCCTTAGCACGCCACGCTGGCCACTAGGATGACCACTCCGAACACCCCACGACGTAGCTTCAAACCAGAAAATGCTTCAGAGAAACGAAACGAGTCTGCTCCCAGGTGACTCAGTGTGCTGGCTCACGGGGTGGCCGAACGGTTCCTGGGTTAGGCCGCGGACAGCCACCCGCATCCTTGCTTGGAGGTGACAGTCACATCTACCCAGCCGGTCTGGAAACTCTGCCGCGATGCCCCGCTCCCAAATGGAATGGCAGAGGGCCGATCCGGGACACGGGGGCCGCCTGTGGTCCTGTGTCGACCCAGCTGGCGGGGGACCGGCTCCAGCACTGCCACCCGCGTTCTGCACTTCCTGCCTCGCTCTGTCATCTGACAAATCGCGACCCGACCTGCAAGGCACCACCTGCTGTACCTGGCAGCGCGGGTGCCCATCCTGTCTCCCTGGCCCAGGGTGCCCACCGTGTTCGCTGGGGTGGCTTGCTAGGCCCCACAAGATGGCACAGCGAACTCGCCCCAGGCTGCAAAGGCACTCGGCACACAGCTGCCAGGCCGAGAATCTGTCCACGTGACCGTGTCCCATGTGAGCTGCACCTGTCGCTAGTTCCCCACAAATACGGTGGACAGAGGACGATCCACACGCCACACACGCTACACACAGATGTGTGTAGTCAGGGGATCCAGAACCCCAAGCAGAGTCTGGGGAGCTGGTCACCTGGCCACGGCCTTGGGACATCAGCCTCATTAGCACCAAAGGGCAAGCAGGCCGGCTAAGAGGCCACACCTGGAAACAGGCTGCGGGTGTGGCCGAGTGCTCCAGAACGCAGGCTGCAGGACTCGCCCGGTGACATTTCAGGGTCCACAACCGGAAGCCTCCCACTGCCCCCCAACATCTGCAAACTCCTCCCCTTCCTCCCTCTTGTCGCGGCCCATGCCGAGGGCGGCCTCTGCACGGTTGGCTTCCGTGCCAGATCGGGGACCCTCAGGGACTGCAGGGACGCCCAGCACCTGCCACGCCACGGGAGGGTCGGCAAATGGGTTGCTCTTTCCCCTGAGCGCCAGCCCAGCCCTCGGGGCGGCCAGGCACAAGCACCCCCCCCCCACGCGTGCACTTACATGGGCGTGCTCTCCTCCGCGTGATGTCCCGGCGGGCGGACCACGGCAAAGCCATTCTACACAGGACGCCAGACAGGTGGGGGACACAAGGAGAGATTGGTTTCGTGTCAGGGAGGGAACCAGCAGATGGAACCGTCAGAGGGCTCGGGGCACACGCGCGGACACGTTCCACACCGCGTCCTGGGGCAACAGACACGGGCTCGAACACGGGCTGGCTGCCAGCCTCCCAGGGCTGTGGGGTCCCTTCTTTCAAAGCGGTCTACTAGCTGCCAGGGACGCAGGCGCGTGTGCCCCTGTGTCCGACGGCCTGCTGGCGAGGCGTTGTGCCTACTCGCGCAGGAGCCTGGAGGGGCGTGGAAGAGGCACCCGGATGCCTTGGAGCCAGACAGTCTCCCCAGAAAGCAGCTGGACGACTTGCCGGGGACCCTGGGTACAGACGAAACCGAAGGGCAGACACCCTGCCCCACATTGGCCTTTGTGTGAAGATCTGTCACCAATGCAGTCCAGTGCCCAGCGGAGTGGGCAACGCAGAAACAAGCCAGCTGCCCACGCCGGGGACTGTCTTGGAGGCTGGAGGGGGCCACGGGCCAACGTCCCGCTGGAACTGCCCGGCCACCGACGCCTTAAAGAACAGAGTGCTCTGCAGCTGCTGTAGGAAAATAGTCTCAATGGGCATCTCCCGGTGTCATCAGCAAGAGGAAGCTGTTCGGCCAAGATCTGTAGCAGCCCCGAGGGCCAGATGAGCACCCGCGACCGGGCTGCGGGCAGTGGTGTGTGGCCTGCCACAGACAGCAGCCCAGGGGACAGAACAAGCGACGTGCTGACGTGGGAGCCCCGCCCCCACACTCCCGCACCGTCACTGTGCAGCAGGGCTGGTCGTGACCGCCCCAGGCCCGCGTGCCAGCCACTGGCGGGGGGCGGGGGGGAAGGAGCTGCGGGGCCGGGCAAGCCGCGAGCATGCAGCGGGCGGGCCACGTCTGCAGGGAGGCGACGGCTCCACGGAGAAAGGCCCATTGCAGCAGCGTCAGATCGCGACCCTGTGGCGCCGTGGGAAGACACGGGAGCTGCCCACGCGATTCTGCCGGCCGTGGACCGGGCCGTCTTCACCCAACTGTTTTCCTCAGAACGAACGCCGGACAGATGGCTGCTCCAACTTGGAGAGACAGGAGACCTTTCTCCAAGATGCACAAGGCAGGCCAGGCCGGTCCCCTCGAGGGAAACCCGACGGGAGTGGCGGCCAGCGACGCGGTCTGGGCTTGCGGGTGAGCTCGCGGCCCTTCCCAGCACCTGCAGACGCTCCGACGAAGGTGGTGACACCAGCGCTCAAAGGCCAGCGACTGCAGGATGGACCGTGCCGGGACCTGGGAGGCCCACGAACCCTCATGCCTGGGCGGGCCCTGCGTGGCCGGTGCCGAGCTCTGGTGCGGCGCCCGGTGAGAACACCCACGATGATCCGGAAGGGCTGTCGCTTCCCCGGCCCCGCGGCTGTGCGGGGCGGGCGTTCCTCACGCGCTTCGACTAACCGGCCGCCGGAGACCACGCGGGAGCAGCCGTGGGACGCGGCCGACCGCTGTTCTAATTCACAACCGTTTTCAGTTTCTCGGCTGCAAGCGCCGACGTGGCCCATGCTGACAGGAAGGTTCGTCCGCGCTTCGGTCACTTTCCAGAGTGTAAGGTGCTCGGGAGACCCGAACGGCTGGGAACCTGAACGGCTTTCACAGGTGTGGGACGTGTCCTTTTGACTCGACAGTGAGTGACAGAACAGGGTCCACTCTTTCTGCCCGGACGGCGGCCATGCTCCTGCCCGGTCACCTCCCACCTGTCCACAGGGGATGTCGTGGTGGCCGACCCTTCCCCGCCCCTGAGATCTCCGGGCAGGGCCCCTTCCAGGAGCCACCTGTGCCGCGTCCCCACTGACCTTCAGCTCCCCTGTGGCCACTCTGAACACCAGCTCCACCACGCAGCCCACGGCCAGGCGGGCGGCCCCCGACGAGTGCACCTCGTTCCATATGGTGTCGCTGTCCACCTGCGGAAACAACACTCCGGAGTGAGACCCCGGCCCTGGAACCCTGGCCTGGAGCCTTCACGCCAGCCACGCCGCGTCTGTCAGACCCTCCCAAAGACCACCTAGCGGCGACGCGCCCGCGTTTCCGCCCCCTCCTGGGGCGTCGTCTCCCCTGACCGACAGAACTGAAGCTAAGCAATGACGTCACAGTCACTCGTCAGTTCCGTCCAACGACGACCGCAGGGACGGCAACGGTCAGCAAAGCCAGACAAAGCAGAAGTGAGGTGTGTGGCCCCCCAGTTACGGCTTTGCTTTGTGCTGCGCGTCATCAGAAGCACCAGGCATTTGGCAGACGTAGCACAGGATGGAGGCCTGGGGATGGGGGAGGACGGTCAGGGTCCCTGGGGACGGGGCAGGACGGTCAGGGTCCCTTGGGACGGGGGAGGACGGTCGGGGTCCCTGGGGACGGGGCAGGACGGTCAGGGTCTCTGGGGACGGGGGAGGACGGTCAGGGTCTCTGGGGATGGGGCAGGACGGTCAGGGTCTCTGGGGACGGGGCAGGACGGTCAGGGTCTCTGGGGACGGGGGAGGACGGTCGGGTCCCTGGGGTGCTCTGCCCACCAGTGGCTCTGCTGCCAACAGAAATGTGTGTGGCACACGCGGCTGGAGCCTCCCTTTCTGTGCGGTTCACTTAGGGACGTTGAGGTTTTAAGCCCCAGCTAGTGTGGGACAAAGACGGCAGAGATGTCGGCCACGAGTTACATAAGGAGCTTGTCTTCTCAAGGGAGCCGGGGGCGCATCTGAGGTTCAGGATGAAGCACGCGGCCCCTGGACGCCAGCTCAAGGAAACCGAGCTGCTGTCCCCAGGTGTGGGGACACCGGTGCCTCGGCCACACACCCTGGGGACTTAAGGCGCCCTGCTTAGGGGCGCCCCAGCCCCGTGAAGGTTCTGGGAAGCTGCGCAGCAGCTCGATGGTCACCTCTAACAGTGTCTGCCGAGCCTGCTGCCCACCCCTACAAGCGCCCCCAGCACCAACCGCCTCGGGCCTCTGGAGGCGGGGCCCGGCCAGCTGCGCACAGGCAGGTGCTGCCGCCAAGCGCAGGTGTGTCCAGGTGCGCACAAGCTCCTGCCCACCTGACGCTGACCGTTGCGTGGGGAGGATGGACGACTCAGCGAGACAGAGAGACGTTTGTGGGGGCCCAGGCCTTGCCTGAGTGCTGTCGCCACAGCGGTCACGCTATCGGGGTGACCACGCCGCTATGCTCTAGTTTCCAGGCATCGAAACACCCTGGCTTTGCCGCTGCCCACTCCCCACAGCATCAGTGCCCAGCTTTCAAGGCCGGCTTCTGTCCTGAGTGATGCTGGCCGCACGGCTGTCCCCCACCTGCTCATTCACACAGAACGTCCCTGAGCTGGAGAATCATTAACTCGAAGGTGACAACGCTCAAGTGAGAGCCGGAGGGGACGCCACCAGCTGCCCTTGCTGTCCAGGATGACAACGTCCTAGGCTGCACCCCTGAGGACCGAACGCAGTTTGGGCAAAACCACTCAGATTACTTCTCCTCTAAGCACGACGATTTGGGTTTTGGGGCCAAACAGCCAGAGCAGGGAGGGAAAATGAGCCAGGACTCCACGTGCTCCGCAGGGTCTTTGTGCTCTGCCCTCGTTCTGTGCTCCCAGGGTCCCGTGACATCCTGCCTGAGCGAGGGACAGACTCCCAGCCCCACTGTGGGGTCCCCAGAGAGCCCAACAAGACCTTGCCCTGCTTCAGGACCTAAGTCCCTCGGCTGCTGGCCACCAGCGCCTCGTGGGCCAGCCTGGGATGGTCCGGTTGGCGTCCCAAGCTCTGGAAATGGGAGGCCCCAGTGAGGGAGCGTGGCGGGGGCGGCTGCCCTGCCCAGGGCAGGACGCAGGGAAGAGCCGCTGGCCCACGGCGGAGCCAGGAGGTGGAGACCCGGACGGGTCTGGGCCGGGGGGCTCTTCAGGAGCCGTGGATGCAGGTGCAGTGCCCGGGCACCCACAGGTGCTGGCAGGTCACCTCGTCCTTGTCAGGCAGCCCCAGAACCACCAGGTATGCGAAGCTGCTCCTTCCGTCCGGTTTGAAGAAGCGAAGCACGAGCTCGCATGGCGAAGGAAGGACGAGCTACGCCCCTGCACAACGACGTCACTCCAGGAGACGTGCACAGCCCGTCCCCACCACACCACCCCACAGGTGGGTCCCCACGCTTCGGCTCCCGGGGCCCACTCTGCTTCCTGAAGACCCCCGGGGCTGGGGGGCCCCAGCGACACAGTCGTCCAGGGCTCCGTGGGAGCCCCTGCTCCCTGCGGGGCTGGAGAAGACCATGCAGAGAGGACAGCCTCCGCGGACACCTTGCCACCCCGCTCTGCCCCGGCCGAGAGCGTTCCGTGCCCAGACGTGCGGCGAGTGTGGTCAGCCTTCGGGCTCGGGCGAGGTGTGTGGCGCGGGGGCCACCTGGCTGGAGGCCACAGACCTGAGCTCCCACTTAGCTTTCATTAGCAAATTATAAATCCTGCCCTGCATGGCACAGGCTGCAGGGCACTGTGAATCCAAACCTTTTCAAGTCTGGCCACACATTTGCCCAGAATTAAGGGACTGCAGCCTACTCACAACCCAGAGTGAAACCGCCCCAGGAAGGCTTGGCGGTAGGAGAGTCAGTGCCGTTCATTCCCTTTCTGACGGGATGATTTTCAAAGCAGCGGGTTTTTTTAAGGCTCAGGAAGAAAACAATTTCGTTTCATTTCTATAACAGAATCCAGACCTCAGGCTCCAGCCTGCGATCGGTAACGACACACACGCCGGGCCACTGGGCAGCTCCGGCCACGGCGGCTGTGTCGTCCATGCGTTCGGTCTGGAGCCCAGCACAGCAGCTGCATCTCTGGGGTCGCGGGGCCCGCACGGCGAGCAGGCTGTGGTTCCTCGCCCGAGTCAGGGCTGGGGTCGGGGAGGCCCGCGTGCAGGACGCCAGTCTGCTAAGCGTCTGCCTGGCCAGATCGGCTTAAAAGCACCGTTGCATTGGGAGCAGTGAACGTAACCGGCAGCTGCCGGCTTCACGGGGCCGGGAGAGGCCAGGCTCCCACATGCAGAGCCTCACCCGTGGCTGGGGCTGAAGTCAGAGCCGGTCGGCATGCACCCCACCTGGTGGTGTGTTCGTGGCCCACGTTGGGTTGCGCTGACGGCTGCTCCCCCGCAAGGCGGCCAGCCGCACAGCTGACCCCGTCTTTTGGAGTGAGCTGTGGGGACCAGACAACCCTCCCAAGGAAGGTGTCCGAGTACAGCCATCAGCCGCTTACAAACTCCTGGGCCTTTGAAGCCACACGTGTCAGTGGCCGGCCACCCCGGCCCGGACTCCATTATGGAAAATGCCTGGCAGCAATTACCCGCCACAGAGAGCCGAGCAGAGGTTTCTGTGACCACTGGGGCCCGAGAACAAACAAGACGTCATGTGCACATTACAGGAACACTTACCCCAACACCACCACAGGGCAGCCGGACAAAGACGGACGTCAGCGAACCTGCAGGGACAGGGAGAGCGAGGTCAGAGGCCAAGGTCGCAGGGGGCCCTGGGAGCACCGTGGGTCCCTCGGCAGTGCTCTGGCACCGTGGAGAACGCACGTGACGCCCACCACAGGGGACAGACTGCGCCGACTGTGTGGCCCGAGGCGGGGGCCCTCGTGGGCTGCGGGCGCTGGGCCTGTAGGGCACAGCCCTGCAGAGAGCTGGCATTCTCCATGGTGACAGCCTCTCCTCGTGGGGTGGGGGAGGCGCCGCGGGTCTTCTGCTTCCAGCCCGAGCTCAGGCACCTTGCGTGAGACAGCCCCGGGCTTCTGCAGGCTGCGTCCAGTGCAAACCTCACGGCCGGCCCTGATGCCAAGTTCAGAGGCTCCTGCGGCCCGGCCCAGCCCTTCCCAACTCCCAACGGGGCAGAGGCCGGGTCAACGCCTGTGGGGCCGCGAAATGCAAAGAACTTTCCAGAATGTGGAAAAAGCATCCGAAGTCCACTGGGATGGCTGTGAAGCTGGCCGCCTGGGAAGGCCACCAGGTCCAGGACACAGAGGCACCACCCCCTCCCCCAGCGCTCAAGCCTGTCCCCTGGAGCTAAGGACAGGGTCTCCTGCTTCTGGCTCCCAGGCGAGCCCTGCCCCCCACCCCGCCCTGCTCCCTGGAGCCCCCAGGCCCCTCCAGCTAAAGGCCCACGTTCTGGGGCCCCACCGCTGCCCTCTGCCTGACCCACGCATTGGTCCCCTCGGGGTGCTCAGCTCCATGACTCCAGGGGCCAGAGGAAGGAGACAGGGTCCCGGGCCCAGTCTGTCATGTGGACGGCTTGCCAGTGGGGGACCTATGTGAGGACTTGGCGTTCGCATGTGACAACAAGAACGAGACCGCCACACGGCAAGGTGCCTGGTCGGGACAAGCGCGATGGCACTGAGAGCCGGGAGAGCAGCCTAGTATGCGGCCGTCGCCCACGCTGGGACCGGCCTCCGTGCTGTCTGGAGGTCTCGGCCCCGCCCTGAGTCAAAGGCCGGACGCACAGGAGGGCGGGGGGCAGCGGGCACCCAGCAGCCTCGCTCAGAAAGGGCTCGGAGGCCCAGGTCCCCCTAGAAAGGCAAGCCTGCCCTCGCTTGGATGGGGGGGCTGGCCCCCACGTCCAAACAAGGCCCCTTCCTCGGGGCAGCCGTGCGTTTCGGAGTGCTCTCAGCTGTCTCTGCGTTTCTTGGGTGGTCCCAAGGGCGGGTCTGTGCCCACCTCGTCCCACCAGCACGGAACACACCGGGCGCTGAGCCACGGGGGGCGACATCTTTCTGCCGCTCTCAGCCAGTCAGCCTTGCCTCCCAGGGACATGCTCAAGTGAACTTACACTCACTGAGGCCAACACTGCGGCCCCGCCTTCCCATCACGGTGGGGGGCCTGCTCCCCTGCACCACGCGCCGACTGCCACTGCCTGGGCCCGTGGCCCCCACCGCAGGTCCTGCAGCCACGTGCCAGCACTGGGTATGTCCTAACGCCAACTAAACTGCTTCCTGATAGACCATGCGGCCTCCAGCCCTCGCACCTGAGGCGGGCTGGGGGCATGTGTGCCATGTCCTCCCTTGTGCCCTAACTGCTGGCCCACAGCGGGCAGTAAGCCAACGTGGGAGCGGATGAAGGATGGGCCAGCAGGGGAGGGGGCGCCGGCACTGTGACCACTGTGGGACGAGCTGGGGCTGCTGCAGGGCAGAGGTTGGGAGGGTCAGGGTGGGCTAATGGGGCAGGGGCGAGGAGGCACGGGCCTGCTGTCCTGTAACAGATGCAGCGGCTCAATCAGGGTGCACGTGCCATTCCCTAAAGCGCCTTCGGAAAGGCCACTGCTTCTCACATCGCTGACTTTCCACCTCACGCAGCGGCTCAATCAGGGCGCACGTGCCATTCCCTGAAGCGCCTTCGGAAAGTGGCAGGGGGTCCTGGGTGACATGGCCACTGCTTCTCACATCGCTGACTTTCCACCTCACAGGACACGGCACCGGGCACCTGAAGAGCCTTCTTCCAAATCAAGCATCGTGTGTGTGAATTCACGTACGTGTGTGTGTACACGTGAGTGAAATAGGGCTCTAAGAGACTGGATTCTTCTGTTTTTGAAATTATAGCCAATAACGTCTACGTTAAAAGCATAAATCTTCTGATTATCTTGATTTTGAGCAGCACGATGATAAAAACGGCACGATGTACGTGTCCAGCACACACCCCTGCTGGGCGGGCAGGAGCACACAGGGCTCTGAACGGGAAAGACCCAATGGTGATGGTCCCCAAGGTCTGGCGGCAGCTCAGTGCAGCTGATCTCCTGTGTCCCCCTGCGGTGTGGGGCCACCGTCACCTGGGCAGGCCACAACCCTTCTGGCCGAGGGATGGGGCAGACACAGGACTGCCTAGGCTGGCCGTGAGCAGCTGGGAAGGCAGTAGGCGTGGGGGACACACTGCCTGGCTCCTGTCACACTGTGTGGCGGATACTCAGCAGAGAGGTCTTCTGGGACCTTCCACCCGAGCATGGCCAGGCACTTGTTCACGTGGTGCCCTACAGCTGCCCAGCGCTCCTCAGCCACTAGACCAGGCGGACCTTCCTTCCAGGCTACTCAGAAACCCAGTGCGGTCCCCCGCCGGCCCCCGTGGGGCCTCAAATGCTGCCCGCCTGCGATGTGGGATCTGCAGATTACCCGCCTTCCACCTTCGGGTCCCCAAGCCCGGATGACTGAAGTGCAGAGGGGCCCTTGGCAGGGGGCTGACGAGCAGCCAGCCATTTGCCGCTGGACCACAAGTGTTAGGGGGACCCAAAGAGCCTTTGCCACTTAGCGGGATGATGATGGGGCTGCACAGTGAGAAAGGGTGTGAGCCCCCCTGACCGTGCAGACTGCTCTGCGGCTTGAGGCCGTTGGCCAGTTCCCGGTGCATGTGGGAGCAGGGAGACAGGACCCACGGCTCCTCCCCTGCGAGGGGGAATGTTCCGGGCAGCGAGGCCTGCTGGAAGGAGGGCCGTCTGCAGGGTCCTGACGACTCTGGGAACCGGCGTTCTGCCCAGGCTCGTATGCCGCCCTCTGCACGCGGCCTCCTCACTCAGCTCCTCCCGCTGACGCCACGTCCTGGTCCCCGAGGGCCCCTTTCCTCAAGGCCTTGCTTGTCCCCGGCCAACACCATCTGGTTCCTGGACATGCCCTGCACGTCTACACCTCTGCACCACAAGGGCGGGCTCCGGCCACCACGTGCCTTGTGCCCGCGGAGCCCTCACCACCTGCCCCACAGCCAGCTGCCTCAGCCCCTCTCCGTGGCTGCCGGGGTGACAGGCCTGCGCCCCAAGCAGCCCCTCGCAGCTCAGAGACAGAGCTGCCTTTCTGGGGCGGGAGGAGGAATCGCACACAACAAAGGTCTCTCCGATGTTCATGTTCAGTCCACGTCACTGACGCCTGCAACGGAGGGACGGAGCCCCCCGCGAGAACCAGGAACCGCGTTCCTGTCTGGCCAACTGTCCCCACGCTCTCCCTTCGGTTCCGCCCCGTGATGTGACGTAAACCATGGAGGCTGAGCTTAAAATCGAGTAACGAGGACAGAGCCCGCCGTGGAGGCAGAGCACGAAGTGCCCCTGTGAGGTGGCTGCTCCGGGACGGACGGCAGAGGGAGCCTCTGCTCACACAGCAGCGTCCGCCCCTTTCCTGAACTTCCGGTGCACCTCAGGGGACGAGGCGTGGGGACAGCGGGGACACCTGGAGGGGCGTGGAGCTGGCCCTGGACGTGGCAGGAGGGCGAGTGGCTCTGGATGTCCCTCTACGCTGCCCCCGTCTGGGGTTGGCAGGCCGGGGGAAGGGCAGGAGTCGTGGGGCTCCGGCAACATGGAGGCCCAGGGAGCGGCGTCTCAGTCCAGGGTGGAGACGGCCTGACGGGCGGCCACCCACAACCCCCCGCCCCTTGCCCCATGTCCTGGATGCTTCTCTGCAGGGATCAGACGGCCTCCTGGACCCACTCACCGTGCTGTGGGGACTGGTGACTGCTGTGGCCACGTTCATGTCCCCACCCAGGTCACACATGGGGACCCACGCCCACTGGGACGGAGTTGGGGGGGGCCCTTCAGGAGGTGACTGGTCACAAGGACGCAGCCTGCACAAATGGGGTCAGTGCCCTAAAGGGGGCCCTGCAGACACCCGCCCCTCCACCGTGGAGACGTGGCGAGGCGGCCGTCCACGCACCAGGGGCCTCACTGGCCACACGGGCGGCCTTGTCCCGGCCTCCCAGAGTCTAGACAAGTGGCAGCACTTTCTGCTGCTGAGCCCCCGTCTGCGGGGTTCTGCGGGCAGCTGGAAGGGGCAGCCGGGGTGGGTCTCCCACCTGTGGCCCAGGGCGCCCGTCGGACTCTCCCTTTGCTTTGTGGGGCAAATCTCCCAGCAGCCTTGAGAGGACACGTGGAAGGGGACATTCCTGAGACCCCTTTGTTCACCCCCACACACAGAAATGCCAGGCCACACGGAGCCTTCCCCGGAGCCGACTCTGCCTGGTCCCCGGGCAGACGGTGGCTGCCTCCGGGATCTCGCAGCATCTCACTGGTCCCTGCCAGTCTGAGAATCTCCGGGGTCACTCACAGGGCGGGTCCTTGCAGCCCAGAGGCGGGTCGTCTGTCCTGGGACCTGGTCCTGAGGGCTCCCAGGGACTGTCCCTATGCCTCCGCTTCCTCCGGAACTCCCGCCCTCCGGCCCTGTGTGCAGGCGCGCTGTCCCCATGCTTCCTCTCGTGGGCAGCTCCCGCCACCCTGCTCTGCTCTCTGGAGACCGACGACGGAGTCCGAGCCTGGCGGCCTCCCCTCCAGCGCCGTGTCTAGCGTCTCTCTGGACGCTCGCCCTGCCTGGCCGACTGTGCTTGTCCACGTTCCGTGGACACAACGGCCGCGCTCGGAGGGCACCGTAGTGGCTCTGTGCCCTTTACAGCTCTTGTCGCCCCAGATGCGTGTCCTCGAGCTGCTGTCTCAGGCTGTCCCCACGCCGAGCACCTTCCCAGGTCAGATAATCCGTGGTCGTCAGCCTGTGACTACGAGCGAGGACCTGTGAGCCCCTGGAGGCTCCGGGTCCACAGCGGGCTCAGGACCCATGGGCTCCCTGGCGGGGTCTTGGGAGGCTGTCTGGTGGGGTACCGACGTCAGCTTCCTTGGGGCTGCTTGATCCCAGAGGAGGGCTCCCCTCTACCTGCCTGGGTGGTGGAGACTGGCTGGCTGGGAGCCCGGCGGGGGGCAGGGTGGTGGAAGGCGGGCTGGATCCCTCGCCCTGCTCTCCGCCTAAGGTCTGCCCCAGCCCAGGTACACTGCGCCCTTCCTGTCCAGGGCCATGGAGTAGAGGGCGTAGGGACACAGAACCCTCTGGCCCCGTCACTTGCCCGAGCTCCTGGTCCAGGGCTCCGCGGTCTCCGTCCTGGACTGACTAAGTTGCCAGTTCTGGTCCCCAGCACCAGCTCAGGAATCTGCTTCCTACACCTGCTGTCCCCCACGGTCCCCTCGCTGTCCAGCCTCGAGGCTGTTGGCTGCCTGCTCCTCTCTCCTCTCCCCAAGTGTCACTGTTCCCATTTCTAAAGCCCTGTCAGCACAGAGCAGCCAGGCAGGGCATGGCCAGGCCAGAGCTGTTTCCCCACAGCCCCACCAGCTCTGCCTTCGCTAAGGATTCTGGCCACTGCAGCCCCGGCGGCAAAGCTCAGCACCTACAGGGTGTCCCACGCAGCACTACACTCCCTGTGTGTGTGCGTGCACGGGTGAGTGCGTGCAGGGGTGTGTACACAGCTGAGCGCAGGAGTGAGTATGTACATGGCTAAGTGCAGGGGCGAGTGTGTGCAGGGGTGAGTGTGTGCAGGGGTGAGTGCAGGGGTGTGTGCAGGGGCGAGTGTGCACAGCTGAGCACAGGGGTGAGTGTATGCAGGGGTGAGTGTGTGGAGGGGTGTATGCAGGGGTGAGTGTGTGCAGGGTGAGTGTGTGCAGGGGCATGTGTGCACAGCTAAGTGCAGGGGTGAGTGTGTGCAGGGGCGAGTGTGTGCACAGTTGAGTGCAGCGGTGTGTGCAGGGGTGAGTGTGTACATGGCTGAGTGCAGCGGTGTGTGCAGGGGAGAGTGTGTGCAGGGGCGAGTGTGTACACGGCTGAGTGCAGCGGTGTGTGCAGGGGTGAGTGCAGGGGTGTGTGCAGGGGCGAGTGTGCACAGCTGAGCACAGGGGTGAGTGTATGCAGGGGTGAGTGTGTGGAGGGGTGTATGCAGGGGTGAGTGTGTGCAGGGTGAGTGTGTGCACAGTTGAGTGCAGCGGTGTGTGCAGGGGCGAGTGTGCACGGCTGAGTGCAGCGGTGTGTGCAGGGGTGAGTGTGTGCAGGGGCGAGTGTGTACACGGCTGAGTACAGCGGTGTGTGCAGGGGTGAGTGTGTGCAGGGGTGCATGTGTGCAGGGGTGCGTGCAGGGGTGGCAGGGAATGAAGGCCGGGCTGCAGCAGGACCCCGTGAGGCTCCCGGCAGCTCAGCACAGGGCCTGGCACAGTGCAGCTCAGGCTGTCCCCGTGTCTGCCATGGAAACGAGTGGGCACTGTGCCCAGTGGCCCAGTGTCTGTTAATCACCAGACCCTCTGCCTGTTTTGGCTCGGGCCCCTGAGCCGTTGGGGCTTCTGCCCCAGGGGAAGGGCAGGGCTGGGGGTGAAGACCCATGGTCAGTGGCCGTCCCAGTTCAAGGTGGCCAGAAAGCCAGAGTAGAAATTCTGGGAAGAGCCATGCAGGGTCTGGGCTGGGAGCCTTGTCAGGGCCACCTGTCGGCCGAGGAGACCCCCAGGCTGCAGATGCCAGAGAGCTGACCGTCAGGCCCAGCTTTCCCCACTACAGCCCGAGGCTTCTGCCCCTGAAGCCGCTTGGAGCTGCCACCCCCGCAGTGACCAGGCTCCAGGCCACCCACGTGCGCCTTAAAGTGGAGCTTACGCCCGACTCGGGGCTCCCGGCACAGAGGGGTGTCGTGGGGTGTCCCACGCAGCTACGGCCTCTAACTCTGGATTCGGTGGAACCAGCGTCCTCACCCGTTTTCCACCCGCCGCACTCGACACAAGGCAGGAAGCCAGCGGCCCCCGCGCATGCTGAGGTGGGGCCCTCCTCCAGCCCCTCACCTCCGAGCCTGGCACGGGCACCCCGAGAAGGGCTCTCCCTGCCCTGGCCACCCAACTGCCTCATCACGGCCTCAGGGGCCAAGGGAGGGACGCGGGGCCGTCATGCGACCAGCGCACGCAGGGCCGGGAACGCCTCGGGCACTAAGGGACAGGCCGCGGGGTATCTAGGAGATTCTTACTGTCCAGTTTCTGCCTGTTGAGGGGATTTGTGCCGTAGAGCAGGGCGTGAGCCTCCGAGTGCACGGTCCGCAGCTCCTCCAGGGTGGCCTTGCGTCCGCGGATGCACTGTGGGGACACAATGTGACAGGCCGCTCACATCTGCCTGTGCGCGGCTCCGCAAAAGGACACCGCCACCCAGGACAGTGAGCCGTGTGCAAGAGCAGAGAGTCACCGGTCACTGTGAAACAGACGGCAAATGTCACCCAAGCAATGCTTAGAAAACCTCAAATGCTTCATAGGGTTTACGCTTTAATCAAAACTTAGAAAGATGTTTAAAACGGTGAGTCCAGCCTTCGACACTTCAGCCCTGTCACACAAACGAGCTGGCACCGGGCTATTCCTAGGGCGGTGGGCCTGCTCCACTCAGCTCTCTCGGGAACTGAGCCCTTGTCCCCCGAGTGTGGCTGAGCGTCAGGAAGCAGAGCCTTCCCCTGTGCCAGGAGACACCCCAAGTGGCCCTTGATCACTGCCTACCTGTCCATCTGTATTTTCCTTTGGTTTAGAAATTTCTCAAATCAAGACTCCTGAGTTTTCAGATTTCCATCAGAAAATTACATAAAAATGACTATTCTTTTACTGAAAATCACTATGCTACGTTCATTCACCCTTGTAAAGGGAGGGGGAGGCCTACGAGATGAGACTAAAGTGAACAGATACACTGGGGCTTCCTGAGGGAGAGGACACGAGAAGACGTGAGGCCCAGGTGGCCAGGGTCCAGGGGACACACGTGAGCAGAGGAGCACCAGCAGCTGCTCGGGACAGGACAGGTTCCTCCCCAAGGGACCCAATGACACGAGAGGCAGAGGCACAGGGAACTGGACGCAGGCTGGCTGTGGCCGTGTCTTTGCTGAGCTGGCCCCTGGCGTAGGGGGTCATGGCTTGCGGGAAAGACCCCCCAGCTCCCTGGCCTTTGCCGTGGGGCCGGCCTACCCCACCCCACCCGGGGCTGAAGGCAGAGGGGACAGGGCTCTTCCGGGTTTTCACCTCATCCCCACTTGCTGTTGGCTTGTCTGGCTGAGACACTAGGGCAGAGGCCCCTGGCCTCAGGGACCCTCCTGGGGGCGAACAGAAGTAGGTAGGAAGGTCACGGGGACTTCAGATGCCCAGCAGCCCTCTGGGTGGTCCAGCGGGCGGGAGGCCGGTGGGCAGGCCGAGCTCCTCACCATGAGTCTGCTGGGGTGATGCTGCCCCCAAGTGGCGCAGCTCCAGCCCATCCCCAAGCCCACTCAGCTCCCACCAGCCTGCTGCTGCCTCCCCAGGAAATACTTCGGACAGGAGTCTGGACTCAGCCTTTGCGCCCCTTCCCTTCTGAAAATCACGGATCACCGTGACATAGGTAAAGGTGGGGTCACGGAACAGGCTGGCTCACGGTCCTGGACGGTCCTGCGTCTAGAGGAGAGGAAGGGCTTGTGGGTGGGGTCTGGACACACCGCTCCCCCTGCCACATCTGCCCTGGCCCAGGCCCAGGCAGGTCTGGCTGAGACAGACGGATGGGCAGTTTTTGCCAAGTAGAGAGCACTAGCTTTCTGGGGTCCTTCCACAGAGTCCTGTCTCTGGTTTTGTGGAATTCAAAGTGTGGGGGGGCACAGCAGGTCCCAATTGGTGGGCACCTGGGGCCCAGCAACCAGGGTCCTGGGGCATGTGGGACAGGGGAGCAGGAGGACACGGGGGTGCCGGAGGGCTGGGCGCAGGACAGGGGAAGCCCTGGCCTTTTTGGAAATCGGCCCCAGGCACCTTCCAGAAGGCCAGCTGTGTACCCGCAGGTGCCGTCCTGATCCTGGCAATGCTCACGGCCCCGCCTCCCCCACTCCGGCTGTCCCACAGTCCCTGGGTTCACGCGGGCTGAGCGGGCCACCCTGCCCACTGCCCTGGGCCCGGCCGTACCTCGCATTTGCCTCGTAGGCCGGTCTCCTGCAGCCGGGACCAGATGCTCTGGATCCTGCCGGCGTGCTCCGGGTGGCTGTTGGTGTTCCCGCAGGTGCACTGGTGCTTCAGCATGAGCGTGTCGTACACCAGGCCTGCAGAGGCAGACGTGGCACCGTCAGAGCGGCAGCAGCCCACGTGCCGCCACCCAGAAAACTGCCAGCTCAGCGGCAAAGCGCCACGCCCCAGAGGACAGGCTAGTGCCACGCTGACCGGCAGGGCGGATCCTGAGAGACTGAAGCCCAGAACCTCAACTGGGGGACGAAGGCACGACACAGAGGCGAGGCCGGGTGCGAAACCCGGATGCGGGCGTCTGCTCCCCACCTGCCTGGCGGTCCAAGCCGCCAGCACCTTGGGACGGGGGGGTGGGGGAGGCAAGACAAAGAACGAAAGCAGGCCACCCCGGGACTTGGCTCTCTCGGGCTGTAAGCTGTGTGGCACTGACGTCGCAGAGGGCCCTGCCGACTTCCGGAAACACGAGCTTTTGGTTTGAAAATCCAAGTCGCCCGTCAGGACCGACCTCTCTATTAAGAAGTTCAGGTGGCCTGAGGACGGTCCGAGGCCGAGAAGAAAGATGAGGCTCGGACCCTGCCCCTAGGAAGAGGCCGGGATGCCAGTGGGCGCACACCACGGGGACACGCAGACAGTGCACATGAGGGGCCTGGCGGGAGCGGGGTCCACACGCCGGGCTCGGCACCGAGGTTTGCATGTTGCCTTCCGGACCAGCGGAGAGCTGGCCCTCAGGGAGCCTTGGCCATGAGAAGGTCACCTGCAGGGAGAGGACCCAGCCAGCCTCAGAACTGGCCTGGGCTCTGCTGCGGAGGAAGAGGGTGACCCCGAGACCACAGTGACCGGTGTCACGGTGACGACGATGCCGTGAAGGGGACGTACTCGGCATGTCTGGAGACGAGGCTGGAGGGGGGAGAAGGGCTGGCTCCGGGGACACCTGCGAGGAGGGGTGCCCCAGTGTCCCCGCCACAGCGCCATCTGCGGTCACCTCGCACGCCTGGCCTCCCGGGGTCCTCACGACGGGCAGGCGGCTGGGTGCACGCCTTCGGCAGCCCGGCCTCTGACAAGCAGCCTCTGCCTCCCCGTGCTCACCGGGGCGGAGGGAGGTGGCACGGTGGAGGAGCACAGCCAGCGTCGCGTGGAGCCGGGGATGGGCTGCAGGGGCGCGTGTCCACAGCAGCTCCTGCCACTACCCGCTCAGTGCCCTGTGCGCCAGGCTAACAGGCGTCAGTCCTGAGTGGGGGGCTCCCGGTGCGCTGGCAGAACCGAGTGGGGGCGGAGGGGACCTCCGGGCCAAAGGCAGCAGGTCAGGAGCACGCAGATGCAGAAATGCACAAGCAGCACGCTGAGCTGAGTGGGCAGGAAGCAGCAGCAACACACACGCGTGTAGCGTGCACTCGTGTATACACATGTGCGTACACGGAGCACAGGCACACACGTGCCCAATCGGGCGTCTAGCAACCACCATAACCAAGCCATTCGACAAGCGCTGTGACAGAATACCTTGCTGAAATGCCCCTCGAGGGGGACACAGGGCTAGTGCCCCTTACAGGAGGGACTAGAGCACAGAGCGGTCAGAGCTGAGCGGGGGAGCCAGCAGGGACAGCACACACGACACTGGCCCGCGTGACTTGGGAACACGGCCACCACGGAGCGGGCTCGCTAACAAGCACACGGGCACGACGGGGTCCCGCGCCCCGTCCGTCCACCTTGCTACGCACAGAAAGAGCGTGGCGAGACTCGACCCGAACTAGGGCCTGGCTGCCCCGGGGCGCGTGGTTAGGGACGACCGGAGACTTCCCGGCGTTTCCATCACGTTCGCTCGTTCACAACGAGCACGTGCTGTTCTGCACGCTCTTAAAAAACAACACCCAGGCAAACTCAGCAAGTGCAACAGAGGGGGGCCTGCCGGTGACATCGGTGGTGACACCAGGCCCGTGCAGACCTCCGGACCCCCGTGGCGGGCACAGCTTATGTGGACGCTGGGGCAGTGTGTCCCCGTGGAAGCGCTGCCTGCCAACTCGACGCCAGCCTGTGCCATCCTCTGGTTTCCTTTCCGAAAAACAATGATTTCTGGATAATCACTACTAACATTTTTCTCTGAACGTGAACGATACCTGTCTTAGACCTGACAGAGAGAACCTGGGCACATTTAGATGTGACACGGCGCGAAGAGAGACATTTGGTGAGGACCGTGAAGGAAGATGAAACCCTTCTGTGTTTAATTTCTTCTCAATGTCGCTGAAAAGGAGCAGTAGGTGAGAACAGTGTCCACAGCAGTCGGGCTGCCCTCCTGTCCTGGGTCGGGTGTGGCTGGGCAGGGCGCTGTCCACTGGAGCCCCCCACCGGAGCCCAGGAGAGGCGGGCGGCACCAGAGAGCACAGAACGAATCGTAACCACCAGCAACAGCGGAGGAGAACAAGCAAGCGTCCGGGGCCGGCAGAGCAGTGTCCCTCAGGGTGCGCGACTGTGCAGGGGGCAGGGCACACCAGCGAGGTACCTGGGCCCCACAGTCCAGGCCCTGGACTCAGGCTCAGCTCAGGAAGGGAACGGATGAGCAAGGAAAGGCTCACTACCACCGCCTGGTGCCAAGCTGAGGTGCAGGAGCAGGGCCAGGGCGAGCTGCCAGCCCTGGCAGCAGCCTGTCCCCAAGCCCAGCCGGCCTGACCTTCGGCCTCTGGACAGGGCGGAGGCCCCAGGCAGCCAGCCCTACACCTCATCAAACCCGGAGGCCCTGCCCGCCTCCCCGCCCCTGTTACCTGTGGTGAACCGTGGTTTGGCGGGGGGCTCCTGCACAGACATGGGGAAGGTGGCAGACGCTGGGGACGACTGTGCCCGGGACAGAGGCCGGTGGCCACCGAAGGACACGGGGATGCCGGCGGCCTCCATGGAGGCCTGGAAGTTCCTCAGCTGGTGGATCCGCTGCTGTTCCAGGAGGAGCGCTTGCTGGGGAGACAGGCACTGCTGCTTCAGGCGGCCCCTCGTCGCACCCTTCTGCAGAGCGCGCCCCGCCCGCCCGCGTGCAGCGCGCAGTGCGGGAGCACACCGGGCCACTGGCCACGGACGGACACCGTAGGCCCCGGGAGCCCCCAGCCTGTCTAGTGCAGTCTGCTGTCGTCTCGGTTTTAACCAAGAGGCCTCGGTCCACGTGCCAGAAACACGGGTGGAAAAGCTCGTCACACAGTGCGGCTGCTGGTGCTTCGTGCGCCCCTGTCCTTGCTCCTCACTCCCCACGTGCTCACTCGGGGACAGGAAGGGCTAGTGAAGTAGACAACGAATGCCATTCAGATTCCAGACGCCCAGGGCCCAGCTGGCCAGGGTGTCGGGGGCCGGGAGGGTGTGGACATACCTGTGAGGCGGTGGGGACCTGGACGCAGCCCCCAGGGCCCTACTGTGACCACCTTTCCGCAAAAACCACCAGAGTGGGAAGGAGGGACTTAAACACACACTTTCATGACAAACTGCCCTTCACAGAAACTACACGGCTGTGTGAAGAGCTGGTTTCCCTCGGTGTGCCCGGCACAGGACCCGAATGGAAAGTGCGGCCCGAAGGACCGCAGGCCGGTGATGGGCAGGGCCAGGCCCTCCCTGGGGCCCATGCAGCCAGCAGCCAGCAGCCAGCACATCACAACCCTGCCCGCCTCTGGACAAGCAGCGGAGATTCTGCAAGGCGCTGTGCTGGACGGGGGGGGAAGGGGGCTGGGACCCGGGGCCACAGCAGGGGCCGGCAATGCCGGGTCTGTGGAGTGTGGGGCCACTCGGCCAGGGCACTGCGGCCCGTCCTTGCGCTGCCACCACAGGGGCAGAGGGGTCTCTGCCTGGTTCCATCCCATCGGAGGCGGAGGGAGAGCAGAGCACAGGGGAAGATGCCAGTGCTGGACGTCACGCAGGAGGGCCGAGGCCACCTCATCCCCGCTGGGTCAACAGCCGCTGTCCTCCCTGCTCTCCAGCCAGCCCCCTTCCCAGGCTGCTGCAGCACCCCTGACTCCAAGGGGCTCACAGCCAGCTCCACGGCCACTGAGAGCCAACGAGCTCCTCTCCCTGGTATGTGGGGGCTTACGAAACGGGAAGCCCCGTCTCGCATTTACGTCTGCAAATCACTACGTGCCACTGAGGTCCCCTGATGAGTTTTGCTTATCATTCTCCAATACAGAAAAACAAGCGTTTCTAATAATGGTTCGGGCTTGGAGTGCAAGACCGTTCTTCCTAAGTAAATACCGATCGCTCTATCAGCTACAAGACACGTGCCCTAAACGTTTCCTTGAGTACTTTCCAATCTCACTCGCTACGATAAGAGATTTGCTTCCGTCGTAAACGCCCAGGCCCCACCACCCACATGGGAACGAAGCCCGTCGTGCCTGCTGCGGGGCCACACGGGACAGACACGCTTCCCCCGGTGGGAACTGCTCGTTTTCACTAAGCGCTGCTTCCACTGCTCTTCGTAGTGGTGGGTTAGGGCCCGGGGTGCTGACAAACGGGCCCGAGAAGGCAGAGCTGGGCCCCCCGGATGAGAAACAGGAAAACCTGTGCCGTCCGCAGCACCCGCTCCGCAGTGCCCAGAGGCCTCCGGAGAAACACGCGCGCGAATCCCTTGCGTCAGGGCCTTTCCGGGTGCTGCTGGGGACGCGTGCAGCGGCAGTGGGCCACAGGCCGGGCTGTGGGTGCCGAGGGGACGCCCAGTGTAGCGAGAGGAGGGGCGAGACAGGGACCCCCGCGCCAAGGTCGCCCCCCGCGGGGATCGGCTCACGCCGTTTATCGGGGGCCTGCAGCCTCCGTGGTGGCACTCGGGCTTCTGCCACAGGGCCTCTGACTCGCTGGCCAGCTGTCCTCCCGTTCAGGTGACCTGCCAGTTTCCCTTTCCACTGTGAGCTAATACGGCACTCGGCAGATTTACTCGTCGGTCTCCCGTGGGCTTGGTCACTGTGCTTCGGCCCCCAGGAAGCTTGCTGGCTCTGGTACCTGGGTCACAGCACTTTTCTGGAACTGTAGGGCTGCTCACCACTGCCTCGCTGGCCCCAGAAGGTCCCTCCCACCTTTCTGAGCAATTAACAAGGTGACTTCCCTGCCTCCAGCCCCAGAGACTGTGCTGAATGCTACCGAACGCTGGGTTTGCCAGACTCTATGGTCCACGGACCTGGGAAAAACCATCCCAAGGGAGTGTGAGTGGGCCTCAGGCTGCAGCGGGTGCACAAATGCCCAGGGTGGACGAGTGGCCAGCATCTCCTGGTGCAGCTCAGGTAAGAGCCGGGAACCACGCCGCCTCCCACGCCAGCCAGGGGAGCAGGCAGGCCCTGGGCAGGCGGCAGCGCCAGGGAGCGGCCATTCAGTTTCCACTGCCCACCAGCCAGAGGGCACTGCCCTTGGGGACCCCGGGACGCTGCCTGCAGCCCGCCCGCCCTG